AAACAAGATTCTCTGGCAAAGAAGGATTAATTTAATTTCATCCCATATGTGACCTGAAATGATAAATGTGCTTTATGTGCCATCTTTAGTAGAGAGTATCCTTTTGTTCAGTATCCTTTTACTGAGATGTTTAGTGAAGATACAACATTGTTAAAAAAAACATTACATAAAGTTGTTTGAGCCATTATATTCTAAGGCTAGAATAGGCTCTTGTGCTTTGTCACATCACTTGATGTGTTTTTAAAAATCACAAAAAAACATGTTCGGCAACTATCCACTTATAAATTAAAACAGGGTCAAAATGGCTGAGATTTTAGCCCAAACATATAATGTCTACAAATTTTTCTTGGTGGATGGAGATTTTCTGCAAGTTTTTTAAGAGCAGCATTTTGTCAGGGTTCCAAGTAATATACCGGTAGCAAGCAGAACTCTGAGGCAAGTAGGTTCCTCCAAGAACAGGTTTATTGGACATATCATATTGGCACAGATTGTTGAAAACTGACACTAAAGGTTCCCACAGTTTTCACCTAATTAAAAATAAAACTTATTCCCAAAAATCAGTTACATGGTCCAATCAAGGTGCTGTCCAGTTGCTCCTCCTCTTTCAGCCACCTGTGGGAATGTCCTTGGTTCTCAGGGGAACCTATTTTGTTTTGGCTATAAAACCCCAACTATCTCTATTCCCCCCCCCCCACTCCCTATCCCTCAGCACCATTGTGGCAACACTGAAGCTTCCAAGATGGCCTCAGTCAGGCCAGCTTCAGAGTTGACACATTTCTTCTTAGCGGTTATAGAAGATTACCAATAGGATGAGATCCGTCGGCTTTATTATACCATATTGTTTATCCATGAAATTCAGCAGAAGACTCAGAAGCCAAGAAAACTGCAGATTGTTGAAGAAATGACTATCAAGAACTGAGCATTCTCACCCAGACCTCTTGGCAGTCTCATAACTAAACAAGTACAAGAATTGTACAATGATATATGAAAACATATGATGAATTGGGTATGGCTAAGGTAGAGAAAAGTAGGACTAAGGATGACATGATAGCATTATTCCAGTATCTGAGGGGCTGCCACAAAGAAGAAGGAGTCAACCTATTTTCCAAAGCACCAGAAGGCAAGACAAGAAACAATGGATGGAAACTAACCAGGGAGAGAAGCAACCTGGAATTAAGGAGAAATTTCCTAACAGTGAGAACAATTGGCCAGTGGAACAGCTTGCCTTTAGAAGTTGTAGGTTCTTCATCATTGGAGTTTTTTAAGAAAAGACTGGACAGCCAACTTTCTGAAATGATTGAGCAGGGGATTGAACTAGAAAACCTCCAAGGTCCTTTCTAGTTCTGTTGTGTTTGAGTGATTGATTGATTGATTGATTGATTCCTCCCCGGGAGAATTTCTCCAGAGTTCTCATGTGAAAATTTTCTTAATCAAATTCTCTTTCACCAAATTGAATAACAGCAGATAGGGAAACAAAGAAAGACTGCCTGCCAACCTTTATCAAACTTCAACAAACTAATAAGCTATGTCATAAAGATGGGATGTGGGCATCTGGATAAATCAGTATCCACCTGCTGCTTAAAGTTCAACCCTTTTATGGCCTTAATTTTAGGATTTTTTGCTACTTGACTAGAATAAAATTGCATCAAATAGGTTAATAATTGAAAACAGCTTCCTCTGCCACTCACCCACCAACCATATGCCCTCCCATCTTCATCTCCCCACCACACATATGCTGAGCCTCTCCGTGGATGTTGGCTGAGAATTCAAGAATTATGGGTACCCGTTCGTCTGGGGAATTACAAGTTGGGGAAAAAACCGGGCAAAATAAATGGAGGAAAGAACAGCCCTGTTCTCGGAGAAATGAAATGGGCCTTGTCCAGAACTTCTCAAGATATTTGGGCCAGCATTCTTTTTGAATTATCATATTACATGATAACCCACTGATTTCCAGGATTCTTCTGATTTAGAATGAAACTTTCTTGGAACATACCATGCTGGATAAGTCCACAGGGAGTTAAAATGCTGCAAAAACTGATTTTGGAGAGGAGATGTGTGCAAATGTCATCATCTCAGGGTGTCACGTGCAGGAATTTCACTTTTGTAAATACAGTTGTGGGAGGAAAAGTCTTCTTTTTAACCACAAGACACAATGTCCAAAAGAACAGCTCCAGATAAGCATCACCTAGCAACCAATTGTACTGACATGCGGTAACCTTCAGGGAGCCATGGAGAAAGACAAAGCCTTTTTGTGCAGAAATCTGTAAGAGGACAGGTTGGGACTGTTTCTTAATTCTGATGCCAAGCTAAAGCCTAAACTAAATAACTTTTGGAAAACTGGATCTTGATGTGAAAGTCATCCCATTAATGGGTGCCCAAGATTAAAGCGGCCAGGAGTATCTCGTTTCCTTTAACATGGTTATTTTGTGCAAACCAGTGGAATTAATCTGATATATATACAGGCCAATTTGTCTACTTTTCATGATACCTGGATTGGCAAGAGTAGCCCCAGATACTTGACTGAATTAGACATAGAAATTTGTTTAGCTTTACAGGGAGAGGCTGTAGGAAGTGAGCACCCAACCCCCTCCTTGAAAAATGATAAATGAAATATCCTGAGAAATATTGCAAAGGCAGAATATTGTATTTCCCTGGATAAGAAATGGAGAAACATGTTTTTAGACAGGAAACAGACTCATTCTTAATAGCCCCCACCTTTGTCAATGGTCCATTTAAAGGCCTGAGCCAGTCTATTCTACATAACAAAGATCCCCCTTAAGCTCCAGGGTGATGGGTTTAAGACATGATAGTATTAGCCCTTTACCCATCTCACCAAAGGGCACCTGGGAAGAAGCAATGCTTAACCAAACATGGACTCAAAGCACAGCCTACAGAGTTTCCCCTGCATGGCCTCATGGGAGTCTGACAACCAATCAGAATACAAGATCAAGATCAAAGGCCAGAGAGGGCATAAAACCAGGGACTTTCAGCATCTTGGCCTCTTTTCTTCTTCACCCAAAATCTTGAATCATGTGTTCACCTTTTCTGCTCAGGAACTCGAGCCCTGTGGTCCTGTTCATCATTAAACCATCTTTCCAAGCAGCCTCCATGTTTCCAGTGTCTTTTTCCCCACTTGGAAACTGAACCCAGGAGGACATTTCTTCCAACAAGACCATTTGCAGTCATCTTCTTTTTCAAAGCAGCATTAAGCCTATTCAGTAAGACTCTTTTAGACTGCTGACCTGTTTTTCAGGTATTTGGCACATCAAATCACATTGGCTTCACCTTAGCCATTATTTGCATAGGGTTAAATAAGATGACTAGGACAACAACATAAAAAGTCACCTGTGGAGTCTCCGGAATAACTCTCAATAGTAATAGGCAAAGCTTTGAGATGAATCCACACTCCGCAGAGCTTCTTCAGGCAGCCGTTACGTGACTGTGTAATTGGACTCTTCTTTTGGAGAAAATGTACTAAGCAGAAGATGCACCTTCTGCTGAAGAGGTCTTCTCTTGGTCCAACCTCATTAGACAGTTTCTACTAATCCGCCATCTCTTCTCTGAGCAGGTTGTAGGGGAAAAATTCAGAAGATGATAGTGAAGCACAGATTCCTACATAAAAGTAGATTATCTGGGTTCATTTCAGATATGGAAAAGAGACTGAAACAGCACTAATCATTAGTGGGTGACTTTCATGGCCCCTAGATGGAACAAGCCCTATTAAGTTCTAATTCTATGAAACCTTTCTCAGCAATATTTGATACCACCAATTAAGGCAATAGTGAAATCATCACGGAGTGAAATTGTGCTGCCATCCTCCTTAAAAGTAGCAATGGTATAACTACTTCATCACTTGACCCAGATATGCCTCCATCCTTCCATATTGAATTTGGCTAGATTTTTGCTACAGAGTGCATGTTTTCATTGCCACATATTCTCTAATTTGTAGCCATTGTATTTTCTGTCTTATTCATCCAATTTACAGAGTGGGAATTGTATACATAATTGGAATTGCCTATAAAATCTCTAAAAGTGAGTGAGAGTATGTGAGTGAGTGAGTGAGTGAGTGAGTGAGTGTGTGTGTGTGTGTGTGTGTGTGTGTGTGTGTGTGTGTGTTCTGGACATTCTGCAAAGGTTAAGATTGGGAGACGCTGTTTTATGATAGTTCCACTCTTTCTTGACTGAACATTTTCAATGAACACTAAATGAAGAAAAACAGTAAACTTCTGCTTCTTTGTTGTGAATTCTATAGAACTCAGCTCTCTCTCCCGTTGTGTGATTTAATGCTTAGACCTCTGAATACACATTGCTTTAAAAATTGTTGCTCTCACTGTTGGTCTAAGAATACACTCCCACCTTCGTGCGATTTAGCATCTACAGTGCATGAAATTGCTAAGTGATATTATGCATGGGTTGGGGTGAGGTACTATCAATATGCTGATGATACATTGACACTATGAGAGTGTTTACCTTCTGGAGGCTATGAAACTAAGTTTGGGTACAGTTCTTACATAACCATTTTGGCTTGATCCTGGGTCCTTGGCTGATTCTGGGTGGTATCATACTACCCCAGAAGGAGGACTGTAAATTGAGGGTTCTCTCAGATTTATGTCCATAATTCCTCAAGAGGTGAAAGCAACAGACAAGATGATATACTAGTTGGAACAGCAAGACCTGACAATGTTAACGCATGTCCTTAACATCTCAAAGATAGACTACTGCATCACACTTGCAGTCATCTTTGAAGACTACCTAGAAACCAGAAGTGGTGCAAAAAATCAACTGCCAGTCAGTGAGAGATGCTTTATCCAAATAATACTTTCCTTTTGGCTGTTGCATTGGTTACACAATGTAACACTGGAGCTCATCCCATAACAAAACAAAGAGAAAAATGTTATTCAAGTTGGCAAAAAATTCTAAGCTTTAGAGAAGCATTAGGAATTGAAATAATGATAAATTGTGAATTCATGGCCCTTTCTGTTCCCCACTCTTTTTCCTAG